GGGGGCCAGGGGGGAGGGGGGCGAGCCCCCCAAGCATGAAAGCATTTAAGTGTGAGCAGTGGCACTTCCCGGGTGGTCCCCACACTTAAAACGAGACCAGTAGCACCCAGTGACACCTTCCAGGGGGCGCCACTGATCATGTAAGCCTGAGCAGTGGCACCTTCCTGCACCCCCCCCGACCCCCCCAGACCTTTCCCGACCTCCCCCGACCTCCCCCCCGACCTCCCCCGGATCCCCCCGACCCCCCTGAGACCCCCTACCTCCCCACCCAGACCCCCCCCCGACCCCCCCACCCTCCCTCCCCCCCCGACCTCCCCCCCCCGACCTCCCCCCCCCCCGACCCCCCCAACCTCCCCAACCCCCCCTTCCGACCTCCCCGCAACCTCACCCCGACCCCCCCCGATCCCCCCGAGCTCTCCCCCCCCCACCCCTGACTTCCCCCCGACCTCCCCCCGACCCCCCCCCCGACCTCCCCCTCTGGCCCCCCCGACCTCCAGACACCCCGCCCGGCCTCCCCCCCTGCCCCAAGGTCTGGGGGGAGTCTGGGGTTGGGGGGAACTCTGGGAGGGAGGTCGGGTCTGGGGGGTCTGGGGGGGGGGGGGGGCGTTGGGGGGGTGGGAAGGAACCTGGGGGGCCTGGGGAAAGGGCGCGGGGAGCCTCGGGAGCGTTCATAGTAGGCGGCGTCCCGGTTAAGTGTGGAGTGCCCCCCCCCCCCCCCCGTGACCGTCCTGGCTGAGTGGAGGCCCGAAGTGAGCCACCTCGGGCCACATTGACGCAATCTGGAAGCCTCCCGGGGGCTTCCTGGAGGCAATTTTGATGCATCCGGGGCACTGCTCGGCTAGGGGGCCTTTGGGAGCCTCTCGGGGGGCTTCGGGGGGGCCTCGTCGGACCACTGGGGGACTCTTGGGGCCTCCTGTGGGCTTCTTAAGACGGAAGACTCTGCTGTTGGGTTCGCGTTACACTTCTTGGGCCGTCTTGGGACCGTTTTGGGACCCTGTCGGGATGTCTTGGGCGCCTCAGGCACCGTCTTGGGGCCCTCGTGGACCGTCTGGGGGCCCTCTTGGAGGCCTCTTCTGACGAACCAACAACACACACCCATACCCATAGGGGATCGGGGAAGGCTATGGGTGCGTGTTGTCGGACGGGGGTCCCCGTTCGAACGGGAGCGTTCCCTCTTGGAGCAATCTTGGGGGCCCCTTGGACCGTCTTAGAGCGTCGGGATGCAAGAAGGCTGAAAACTCTAAAATTCATCAAAAAACCAATGGGACAGCAATGAGTTGTGCCTCTTCGGGCCGTCTTGGGAGGCCTATTGGAACCGCTGCGGTCCTCTGGGGAGCTTCTTGAGGGCCTCTTGGATCCTTTGAGGGGCCTCTTAGGACTTCCTAAGAGCCTCTCGGGGTGGAGAGCTCGCATGTTCGGTTCGTGTCACCCCTCTTGGGTCCCTCTTGGGGCCGTCTTGGTGCCCTCTCGGGCCGTCTCGGGCGCCTCAGGCACCCTCTTGGGGCCCTCGTGTGCCGTCTTGGGGCCCTGTTGGAGGCCTCTTCGGCTATCTTGGAACGGTTTTGGATGGAGGCCGTTTGTGTCGTGTTGGAGCGTCGGGACGCCCAAAGGCTGAAACCTCGAAAGTCAATAGAAAAAAAAACGATGGCAAGACAATGATTTCTTGGGGCATTCGTGGGAAGCCGCTTGGAACCTCTTCAGCCCCCTACGGGGCGCTTCTTGGGACCTCTTAGGCCTGTTGGGAGTTTATCGGGGCCTCCTGAGAGCCTCTGGGGTGGAAGGCTCACATGTTCGGTTCGTGTTGCTCCTCTTGGCTCCTTCTTGGGGCCGTCTTGTGGCCCTCTCGGGCAGTCTTGGGCGCCTCTAGCGCCGTTTTGGGCCCCGTTTTCGAGGCCTCTGCGGCTGTCTAGGAGAGGACATTCGGGCCTCTTGGGCCGTCGTGGGGCGTCGGGAAACTGAAAAGGGGAGAATCCGATTACCCTTCAAAAGCCAAGCGGGAACAATTATGCGTGCCTCTTGTTTTTTTAACTGTCGGCGCAGCTGAAGGCCGCGCGCGGCCAGCCGGATGTGACAATTGAGGGTCAAAGAGCATGCAAACTTTCATATTGGGTTGTGGCGGCGTGCAAATCTGCAAGAAATTTTGAGCCCTGGTCGAGAGCCGTGGCCTCAGCGACGAAGGAAAATAAAACGTCGACCTCATCCACAAACACACCAGCCATATAAACAATTTGCGAACCGTCCCCCCAGACAGCCTCGAGGATCCAAGCTGCTGCAGAGCACGCGTCGCCCCGGCGACCGCCGTCGCAATGGACGACAAGATTCGCGTCTCGAAGCTGACGGCCGGCAGTTAATGGACAAAAATTCTGCCAAAAACGTTTTTCGTCCATGCTGAAATTTGCTAGGTGGTCTGCTTCCACATTGAGCTCGCGGCGCCTCCACACGACAGGATCCGCACGGCACTGGTGGGGCAAGACGCCTTTGTCGAATAGCGTTGCCCAACGGGTGCAAATACGGTTGACGATGCGGCAGTGGTCGGAGCCGTCCGGGAGGATGTACCCATGATGACGTCAACTAAAGGTTGACAATCACAGATGATGATGAAACGACCTGCGCCGGCCTCCCAGTTGATCGGCTCATCGTGGAAGTTGATGGCTGCATGTGTTGCTGGCAGTTCCTCCAATGTATATCTCTTCGCCCGGAGTCGTTTGGGTGGAGGGTAGTCCTGCACGACCGCCTCCGTTGTCGCCCGAACGCACCCCACGACCGGGAGTCCCCATTGGCGGCAGATCCACGCGCTGAACTCCCCGAAATGCCGCATCCACTCCTGTAGGGAATGGTAACCGTCGCGGACACTCCTCCAATCGACGCCGAAATAATCACAAAATACATCTTCCCAGTGAGAGAAATTGCCTCCAGTGGCATGGACCATACTCAATCGCAACGGTTTCTTGTATTCTTTGGCATGTTTATACTGCTCCCACCAATCCCGCGCGCGGAAAATCGGGCTCTTCCTCAAAAGCTCAGCTCCGGCACTGCATGGAAGAGAAATCTCACGCCATGCGTTTTTAAATACAGACTTGAGCACGCGTACACATATGGGGCATATGCTGTGCACCTGCATCCATTTTCGTATCAAAGCCGACGTGCGGGCATTGGCGGTCATTGCGCTTTCATCTGGTTTGCGGCGGAGCCGGAGCACTTTCCGAAGGTACTGCCATTCCCAAGTCTTGAGTTTGGCATCCTTGGGAAGCATCTTGAGAGCCTCTTGGGGCTCCTTGGGAGGCATCTTGAGGGCCTCTCGGGGCGTCTTGGAAGCCTCTTGGACAGTCAGGGGCAAATTCTGGGGCCGTCATTGGTCGTTTTCGCAATCTGAAAGCGCCCATTTCTGGTGATCCGGGGTCGTCTTCGGGCGAATTTAAAAAGCACCCGGCGCCACGGCAAGGCCCATGGGGCCCTTCGAAGCCTCTTGGCCCTTTTTGGAATGCTCTGTTGGGAATGCTCTTGGAGACCCCTTCGAAGCCTCTTGGGGCCCCCTGAGGGCCTCTGGGGAGGAGGGCTCGAAAGGCCAGTCAAGTACATTCTCTGGGCCTCTTCTTGGGGCTGTCCTGGGGCCCTCATGGGCCGTCTAGGGGGCCCCGTGGGCCGTGCTGGTGCCCTCATGGGCCGTCTCGGAGCCCTCTTGGGGCCCTCTTGGGTCGTCTTGGGTCGATTTTGGGGGCCTCTCGGACTGTCTTGGGCTCTGTGAAAGTCCAAGATGCGAATGCCCAAAAAATCTAAGGTTCCTAAGGGAATGGGGCCATTTTTGCGTTTTGAGGCCCTCATCGGAATCCTCCTGGGGGCCTCCTGGGCCGTATTTTTTTTGACTCTGACCAACTACCGTGACAGGCCTACATGCAGACGTGAAGCATGCGCTGTGCCTTGCCATACTTGGCAGTGAAACTCTTATACTAAGCTGCCAACGTCCTCAATGGCCATGGCTCCAGCTGTGGTTGATGACGCAGGTGGAAGAATCTATGTGCCGCCCATAGAGAGGAAATAAAGCTACGACTACTAATGCGCCGCACGGCATGACGATGATGATGATGTTGCCGCTGCTGATGATGATGATGATGATGATGGTGATGATGCTGATGATGATCATGATGAGTGCGGTGATCACAGATATATATATATATATATATATATATATATATATATATGTATATGTATATACATACATATATACATACATATACATATATATGTATGGAGACATCGCGAAACCATAACGCCTAAACAACATGTAAACCATAGAAACTTGCTGTCCCTTCTGGTGACAGTCGGAACTCCATGTCCCAGGTCATTCACTTTAAACTCTTATTGGCAACGGGCCGACGACAAGGGACTCCAAAACACAAACCTATGATCTCGTGTACGGTCGAATCGCCAAAGAGGCATCAACAAAACATTGTATCATAACCCAGCTGTGACTGGCAGAGCCAAGGCATTTCGTATTCGGAAGATCGGTAAGTAATGCCAAATGCGTAATCATATCAGCAACAGTCACATGAGCTGCATTGAAAAAATGCTCCGATGTGTGCAACTCCGTATGAGGCGTGGCTATCCTGAAGCATCCTGTAGATTGACAACCAAGCAGCCAGCAGGCTCCTGCATGCCTAGGGAACTGCAAGTCAATTTTTTTTCTCAGGGTAAATCCGACGTCATCGTCGGAAATCAAACGAGGATACTGCAATCGACTATCCAAGAAGAACCCTCCTCGTACACATCCACAGGACATTTGCAACAGAGGGGATGCACGCTGCAGGACCCAACCCCCCATCGAATGGCCAATCAAACAAATGTCAGAAATTAGCCCTGAATCCAACACGCAAGTTGCCAGCGCGTGCAAGCCGACCTGATCAAGGGTGAGGAGGGCGGTCCTATCCATCAATGCACAGCTCGATGTACACGTTTGGTTCTCTCGGAGGCGCAAATGAACAACTTTGTCATACGCAGCGCCCTCAAAAAAAATGCGTGTGGGGAGTTGAAGATTGTGGACGGCGGCGACGCAACAATTGACTGACACTGTTCGCACGCGCGGTTGCGCAATGACCGATGGCAAACGGCTTGGAGATCTCTATTAGATTGTTGCGCTGCCCTGGTGCAAGCCAGCGTAGATCACGTGTTCGAAGGACCTTCTTGATAGAACAGGCGCGTTCGACCGCTGGTTCTTTGGCTGGATAAATGCCTGACCGTGCGTTTCCGATACGCATGTGCACGAACACATGACTGCACTGACTGCGGGTCATGCTCCTCTTGCCCGGCAAGAAATTCAACGTGTCCAACAAAGTGCAAGCCATGAGCCGGTGATCACAATCTACAAGGCGGTTCGCATGAGGGGCAGAATACTTGTCAAACTTGATCGGGGATATTCTCACATTCGTTGCAGGAGGAAGAACAACGTGACCAGGGCGTGCAGCTCGGTAGCCTTGCTGACCCTTGGCAACCACGAACGCACAAGGGCTACTAGTGTTTTTGACCAGATCTCGATGCGAGCGAAGTCTGGGATCTGTTAGTGCATCAGATCTCACGCGGTTCAGCGATAGCGACTGCAAACTGCCCAGAAGCTCTGCAGGCGTCAGGTGCGCACCTACTGAATGGATTGAACAAATAGGACTGCCCAACTGGCCGATAGGAAACGCGCTCGCGCAATCCATCCCGAATTCACTCCAATTCGATGCAGTCTGCCGGAACTTTCTGTAGAACAACTGGGCGTCCGCCGCCTCTTTGCTAGACCCCCGCTGGCCCGACAAAGAGTGGGCGCAACTTGCGATTGCGTGCCGTTCTAACGACAAAGTCGCAATCGCCTGTGATTCTGCTTCTGCCGTGGGGACCACGCAGACGTCGGACAACACGCGGGCGATCACATTGAAGAGAAATCCTTGCTCCAGCATGCTGCGCACGGCGATGCCGTTATTCGGACAATTTGACGGAGGCCTCCTTGTTGGGAAGAACTTGGCTCGCGACGCCAAGCACGCCAGCGGCTTCTTGATTAAATTGTGCGCTCCACCGACCACGGGAACATCCAAAATGACGTCTTCGAATCCTGCAGCGATGGTCCACCTCGCATGAAGAGCGTGCATCTATCGTACCTCACCCCTTGGCAAACGTCTCTATACAAAACACGTGTTTTGTTTGGGCCTGGCATGTGCGACCGCACCCTGCTGACCCGTCGACTTGAACCAAAATGGCTACGGGGGCCTCCTGGGCCGTCTTCGGGGCTTTCTGGAGACGTCTTGGGGGCATCATCGGCGTCTCGGAGCGACAATTCGGGGTTTCGGTTTCTGGGCCTTATGGACCGTTTGGAGGCTTCCTGGAGCATCGGATGCCGTGTCGGGGCTGTCTTGGGCCGTGTCGGAACGCCCCGAGAGGCCCCGGCATGTGCGCTCGGGGCCCTAGCCCCGGGCGCCCAGGCCTCGTGCGCGAGGATGTATGTATGTATGTATGTATGTATATATATATGTATGTATCTGTATATATATATATATATATATATACACAGGTGGCACGTGTGCCCAGGCTCATACAAAAAAACTGGGGGCGTTTGAAGCAGGAGTGAAATGTAGCAGCGAAGTCGCACTCGAGCGCAAGTGGGGTTGCCACACCTTGCGATGTGTGTTCCAGGGCCCCCCAGGAAGCCCCAGGGACTTGGATACCAGAAGAGGCTCCAGGAGGCCCCAGGATTGTGAGTGTTGTGTGGGTGTTTGTGTGTGATGTGTGCTCTGTGTTGTGCGTGCTTTTTGTACGTTGTAGGTGTTGTGTGTGTGTGTGTTATGTTTGTCTAGCGTGTGATGTGTTGGGCGTGATTTGTCTCTGTGAGTGCATGTAGTTCTGAGGCCCCAGGAAGCCCCAGGAAGCACAAGGCGGCCCCAGGAGGCCCCAGGAGACCCCAGGAAGCTTCAGGAGGCCCCAAGAGGCTCCAGGAGGCCGCAGGAGGCCCCAAGAGGTTTTAGGAGACCCCCAAGAGGCTCCGAGGCAGGGTCTGGGGTACCAGAAGGTTCAGAAAGCCCCAGGAGGCCCCAGGAGGTTCCAGGAGGCCCCCAGGAGGCTCCGAGGCGGGGTCTGGGGTACCAGAGGGTACGTCGGGGCTCGATTTTGGGAGGATGTTTCAGGCGAAACCGCCATTCTCTGAGAATCGGGGTCAAAATTATTGAAATTACAATGTGTTTTTGAAGGTTTTATGTTAAAGTGTTGAATTCCCATGTCTTTTTGGACCCTGACGTCACGATCTGCGTGAGGGGTGCCACCGATTTTCAGAATTCCGAGGATGTCCATAGCGAATCGGCCAGAAACATTGCGGACGCGGCGCCCCGCGTACACATTAATCGCCTCTGAGCTCTACTCCCTCGGAGAGGTGCGTTTGATAGTGTGTATATATGTACATGTGTATATATATAGACATAGAGAGAGATGCACATACAACGATATAGAGAGAGGTGTACATACCCTTATACATACATATCTATATATAGAGAGAGGTAAGCACATACATACATATATATACACAGATATACACATATGTATGTCTGTACATATGTGAACACATAAATAGCTATCTGCGTGTGTCAGAATCCTCCTGGGTGTTCGTTGGTGCCTCGTGGGAAGCCTCTCGAGAACCTTGTCGAAGGCGGCCGTGAAGCCTCTTGGGCCGTTGGGGGGCTTCTTGGGGCCTCTTTCGGGCCGCGCCTCGTCGGGGCCTCTTTGGGCCTCCTGGGTGCTGGTGGGCGGAAAGCTGAACTTGTGGGCTCGTATTCCCCTTCTTGGGGCCCTCTCGGGCCGCTCAGTGGCCCCTCTTGGGCCGTCTTGGGGGGGCCTCTTGGGCCGTCCTGGGGCCCTCTCGAATCATCTTGGGGCTCCCGAAAGGTCTCTGACGCCGTCTTGGTTTTCTTGGACCCCACTTGGTCTTGGGCCGTTTCGGGGCGGTCTTGGGCGCCTCTTGAGCCATGTAGGAGCGCTGAAGCCCGAAGCGGCAAGAACTCCAAAATCCTTCAGAACCCCCCGACAATCAATTATTTTGGCTTCTTGGGGCACTCGTCGGGGTCCTCTTGGAGCCGTTTTGGGCCGTCAGGACGGTTGTCTGATCGCTCTGGGGGCCGATCTGCGGCTCCCCAACACCGGGCCCGGCCCCGAAGCGTCCCGAAAAGGGTCGCCCCCCCCCCCCACGGGACTACAAAGGCCTGCACTTTCGAAGAAAAAACCTCCTTCTAAGAAGCCTTCCCCCCTCCCTGCCCCCCTCTGCGCGCCGGTAGACAACCAAAAACCGCTCCATCACAGAGCTGTGAGGCGGCCAACTGCGCGGCAGCGCGCAGGAGGAGGAGGAGGGAAAGGACAGGAAGAGGGACATGGGACAACCATCAGCACGAACAATATTGCCCACTGCGCTGTCCCAACGCGCATGTACGCGCGGATTCCACTGCGCACGAAGCCGGCCCGTGCGGCGTGGGGTGCCGCATTTTCCAAGCAAAATCTGGCGCGCCTTGCCGCTCTCGAAAAACATCTCCCCAAACAAGCTGCGTGAGGTGGCGGCGGGGGGGCTGGGGGCAATCTCCGGCGAGGGACCTCACCGCTTCGTTGCTATCCGTGGAAGATCACGCCGCTTGGTCGAGTTAGATGTCTCAAGCATGTGGTCCGGAAACCATGGAGCCTGTCTCTCATCGTCACTTAGTCAAAAATGGCCATCGTTGCGCCGTCGCGATGCAATGTTTCTGCCGTGATCAAACATAGCTTGTCAACTTACGGGCCGCGCTGCGACGCGAGCTAACCAGCGCCCGCTGTTTCGAGCAAAGCGGAAGTCGCAACTATCGACGGGCAGGCTGAAAGAGGGTGCCCCTCAGAAATCCCAACATCTTGCATCCTCTGCGAACTTGTGCCGCGCCCATCGTTAACAGCAAACCTGCGTACCCTGCACATGGATTGCCCCATGGCGACCATGCCCAGAGAAATCCGAGGGCGTCGCAACGCGTTCAAGAATATGTCGGGTCGTATTCGGCCGAACACGTTGCTGCAATCCAAAGGAAAGAACATCGAAGCCCGACGCTCGTCTTCCAGGGCAGCCAGCTTCTACGAGGCGACACGCTGAGATGAAAACCTTGGCACTGCCCCGTCCCTGGCCTGAACCTATACTGCGATTCTCGCAGCACTCCACCAAATAATCCAATGCAAATCAGGATTTGGGAATGTATACGCCAACATGTGAGGCAAGAAAAACGGCGGGGGCGACAGATGCTTGCCGATACTCCTGGGGTTGGTCTTTGCCACCCCAATTTTCCATTAGCAATTCAACCTCAATCCCCGACTATGCGTCGTCTGAGCAGAGTGACTGCCGCAAGTCCAGCAACGCGCCATCACTCCGAATTACTTCGGGCACGTGTGAAACCTTAACCAGTTGTCGCACTGTTTCATCAATGATTCGACCCGCGCCACTTATGGCAACGTTTGCCGATTGTGGCAGCGTGTTCGGCCTGGTTCTGCCATCTAGTCGGTCGGCCACTGTTTCTGCCCCGGCCTCGGCGCGCAACAACCCCCACTCAGATTTCGCAGTCGTCCGCGCAGGCCAAAGTGCGCCCCATTCTTCGGATTTCGCGATTTCTTCCCACTATGATATCTGGCCTGCGCGCGCAAGTTTCTGGATGAGCTTGTCGGGCCTCTGATGTCGACACTTGACCGTCCTCCCTGCATAATTCCATCTCATGTCTTCAATCAGGCGCAACGTCGTCCAAGATATCCGACTTTTACCGAGCGTGGTCGCAAGAAGTGGAGCATGCTGCGACAGAGCGTCCCAAGCGCAGCTTGCAATGCTCTGCACCTTTGAATTCCAATGTGTATGAGTTTGGCGCTGTTTACAATTTCGCGATGCACCTAGCTGGAAAATGACCAACCCAAATTCGATGCGCATCGCGGTCCACGTGGGTGGCTACCTGGATCGCGCGGCCATCGGGATGTCCACCCGAAGGTCGACGAGGTGCACAACATTGCGAACTTGCAGGGGCCTGCGTCGGTCGCTTGAAGGCCAAAGGCCGCGCTGCGTCCATGGGGCGCGCACTCAAATCGCAAAACGTTGCCGTCGACTCCGAAGCGACGCAGCGCGTGCAACCATGTCCGAACGCATCTCGATCAGAAGCTCCTTGTTTGGAGCGGGATCCCATTTACTGATATGGCTCTGGAGCGCGTCCTTTTCGCCGATTTCAAAGTTTCCCCGGGTACCGCTGTAGTAATCTCGCTGCGAAGCCACTCAAGCATAATGTGAGTCCATGGCATCTATATCTGAACGCAAACAGAAACAACTCATAACAGAGATCGCGTCGGATATCAGATGGGAACTCAATTGTCCAAGCATGCGCCGTGATCAATCTAAACATTCCCCAATTGCCCCAATTCTGGGACCTGCCACCCGGTTGCGATGTTGATCGAAACCTTTGACCACACGTTTTGCCCAAGGTGTCACAATGCAGCTGGCGCCGGCATGTTCCCTACTGTGTCCCCCCCAAAACCAAATCATAAAATAACGTTCGAATTCATACGCTGGTGAGCCGGCACAGTGTCTATTGGTGACACAGCAAGGCGATGTCCAGGTCTCGCCTGTGCTGAATCATCTCGCATCAGTAGGGCTGACGGTCGCAAGAAATGCCTTCGACATTCGAAGAACTACTTCAATTGCACGTGACCGACGAGAAAACGACAAATTTCAACCTGCCTGCGGCATTCCCATTTCTATTGTCAATACCGCTTTGCATTTCCAGCCCCGATTTGACACCAACTTTGTTGCTTGTATCAGCTTATTTTCGTAGCCAAGCCAAACATGTCGTTAGCCAGTGTGATAAGGTGGTTCACTCTTGGACGATTGGTCAAATCTTCTCATTCTTTCCGAACACCATCCTATCATAGCTGTGTGGTCTTGTGTCTGTTGGAACTGTCACCACGGCGTCCTTCGCTACTCTGAGCACACAATTTGTCGATCTCGCGCGAACCTCTCCCACATTGCCTCAACAATCCGAATGAACAACTCAGTTCGGCACTTGTTTCTGGTTGACAGGCTCGGGTCCACGTTGTTTTCCCATTGCGGTTAAGCCACGCCGTACGATAG